CCCTCCAACGATTTTGAACATGTAAAGAACATGTTCACAAAGAAAAGAGCAGTAGTAGGTAGCCTTGGCAAGAACACGCCCTGGAGAGGATTCAAGAAAGCATAGCATAGTACAGAGATATGACACTAAAATAAAATAAAATAATAGAGGAAGTGAAGGACATGAATGTTTGTTCATGACAAGCAGTCATTTTGACCCAAAAGTACAAGAGGCTATGTAGTTGATTCATTTTGACCTGAATCAACCAATTTCCAAACAAGGAGCACAAACCAAGTTTGTCACAGGGTTTTGAACAAGAAACAAAAGGCAAACACACTGCCCTGCATCAAGTTCACAAACGACGGTGAGTAGGGAAATGCTAGGATGCAATCTCCAAACCGGGATCTGCAGTCCCAGCTCTCGCTTCAGCCATACAACATACAGACACACCAAACTAACAGTAGCTCTGCACGAGTTTGATCATCTTCTTAATCGGATAATCGAGGTAGAGAGGCCTGAAGCAAGATTTACCTACTACCAATAATACAAGCAGCCAAAGGTCCTAGTTGTTTTTATACACACTAGTCATTCTCAACTATAGCATCCAGATTTTTTTTTAAAATATAAATGTTACGCGAAACACAGTTTCACAGTAGGAAAAAAACCAGTTTTGCTAAAGCACAACTAGATGTGATATAAGTACTGCACATCTAAGTCATATGTCATTGATTTTACGCTAAGATTCTTGCAACCATTTTCTTCTGTCTTTTTTTTTCTTTCTAGTTTGATTGAGTCACTTATATGTAACGGTCTATCAAAGATTCCAAGTTGACTAGGAAAGAACTTGAAAGACTGTGCATGTGCTACATAACTCCAGAGACATGTCCATATATATAAACAATACTATGTAGCCAGGGTTTAGAAGCATGTGCAACCATACTAGGCCATCTTGACTGACTCCAGGAAAATGGAGCTAGCCCAAATCAAGGTGGATAAACATCAGCTACAGAATGGCCAGCAGTTAGAATCGGCTAGGGAGCTACAACTTGTTATTGCGGAGGTTGGATCCAAGACTGAAAATATGAACGAGGCCGCAATACAATTTTCATGCCGCACGCAAAGGCGACATGGGGGCTAAAGTTTGACGAAGATCGGCATGGCACGCTGCCGGTACAAAGCAGCCTGGAACCCGATCATTCTCATCATGAGAGTTTTTTTTTACATCCTATCATCATAAAGAGCTAATTGCACCTGGAGCACATTTAGTCCATCAACTTGGTCTAATAGTACAATTAGCTCATCGTAAATTTAAGTCCAATGCATTCCAGTTTAATCATGTACAGATACTGATGAACATGAATGTCAGTTCAGTACTCAACTCATAAACTTATGAATAGATGGATACTAATTGTAATTAACATCCAAATTTTCACAACTGCATATTTAAAATACTGATTTTAGATCTTTTCAAGTATATGTAAGCAACACTATGTAGCCAGGGTTTAGAAGCATGTTCAACCATACTAGACTGTCTTGACTGACTCGTAAATGGAGCTAGCCCAAATTAATGTGGCTAAACATTAGCTCAAGAATGGCCACCAAAGACTCAGTTAGAGAACCGGTATGGAGCTACAACTTGTTAACGCGGAGGTTGGATACAAGGTTGGAACTATGACATTATAAAGAGCTAATTGCACAGGGAGTACATCTACTTGCACGGCATGTTCACCTTAGACCGCCTTTTTTTGGTAAAAACTGGATTTTCCAGCCCATCAACTTGCTCTAATGGTTCAGTTAGCTCCGTCATAAATTTTAGTTTGAATGTGTTCCAGTTTAATCACATACAGATATTGAAGAACATGAATGCCAATTCAGTAGCCAACTTCTTAAACTCATGGATAGTTCGATACTAATTATATCATCTCAATATATATCTGAAATACTGGTTTTAGATTTTTCATGTGCATTTTAAGAGCTTTGAAAGGGTTTAATTAAAACAGAAAACATTATATGACTTCTTCTAGCATTTTGTAGCTTATTTTTTGAAGATTTATTTGAACTTCCAACCTGATTCCAATTCAAAATTACTAACTGAAAGAGATAGGGCTATGTTTGGCAGCTCCAGTTTTTCCGCGGCAAATCTCGGAAATCTGCCCACACCAGGCAGCAAACCGATTGCTGGTCAAGTCCATCATGGTACAAAGAAACGCAACTCCTTGGGTGTCAAATGCTATGGTCTAGAATTAGACGGCCCAGGGCGTGAGAACCACAACAAAGCTATCCTCACAACCCACTCTTATGATATCTCTAATAAATAAATTCTGCCATGCAACAGTAAACATGTAGACAGTATCCACTGCTAGAGTACCTAGCGTACCTGGCACAGATACCAAAAGACTCCTGCTGACGAGAGACCTCGTACATCCAAACTAAGTCAAAATACCAAGTCCAAGCAATGGTCACTAGCAGGAGATGCATGCTAGTTAGGCTTAATAAGAGCGAAGCAAGTAACCTTATGCAGTTTCAACATACTTCCGACAAGGATTGGATGGTGGAATACTATCAAATGGATAATACATAAGGACTTGAGCCTTCATTCAAAAGTACGATAACAGGATCATGATGGTTAACTACCAAGTCTACCATGCAGAAAGAGTCCAGACAGTACGGCTTGAACGGGAGGGAGACTATGAGAAACAGGGGACCAAGCGAGGTGATTTCCTTATTTTATCTTCCCTTTTATTAATGAAATGGAAGAAAAATCACTCCTTACATATTAGGGGCACCTAAAGTAGAGGCAAAACAGGACAAACAAAGGACAGAATATCAATAAATGACTAATAATTACGCCACAAACTAGAGACAGGACTTACCACACTTATGACATGTGAATACAGCACCGGTTCAAGCTACAAAGCAAACTCCAGCTTTACTATTTAAATGTTAAGCATTTAAAACATGAGAATGAGATGTCCAATAAGATAGTACATCATAATGCACAAGCAAGCTAAAACAGGAAGACGAAAGAAACCAGGGCAGGGTAAAGGAGTTAACGCACCACACAATGACAGAATGAAGAAATGGGGCAACATGGTACGTACAATCCCCATGATCGCAACCATAAGAAAGCATGCTCTAACATTAATATTAGGCAAAAAAGAGATTACCTTGATTCACAGCAGGATACAATCATGTAGAACAAAGCAAAATACCCAAGGCAAACATAACATTTCTGCTGCCATGTGTTTGTAATCAAGGCAATTCACTACTAACTGGAAATGTGACAAAATAACTAGTCGCCAAACAAGTCATCATCACTATCATCAGCTGGATTTGCACCCACGTCCCTGCTAGACTTCTTTTCATCAACAACTTTGACTTGCTCTGGCTGGCCATCTGATTTATACGCCCATGATGAGCCCAGCTTTGCTGGAACAGAGTCCCCGTAAAGGTCATCATACATACCACCTCTGGATGTGCTTTTAACTTTGTTAAGCATCTGTTGTAGCTTATCTGTTACCCCACTGTGGGAGGCACTGTCCTTTGATGAAGTTTGCTCCTTTCCTTTTGGTATGACAGTAACCTGTACAAGAGACTCATACTTCCCAACAAGACTGCCTTCCTTCACACCAACTGGGCCTGGTTCAGTTTCAACATCTGCACCATCAGAAATCCCAACCACCTGAATAAGCTCTCCACCAACTTGATCTCTAAATGACACTCTCCGCTTTTTGCTTCTCTTTGACGGTCTACCGACTGCCTGGTTGTCATCATTTACAGCAGAAGCAGAAGCATCCCCAGAAGAACTTTTTCTCTTCAATGGCACTTCTGATTTGCTAACACCATAGCGATTAAGTATTGTATTGTATGCAACAACGGCGTCTTCATCGTCAGAGTCTGGAGGAGACGGCAAACTCACATCTGACGGGAGGCTTTGAGTGGGAAAAAAAGCAGCGGTGTTCTTTCGTAGAACATATGCTCTGGTTGATGCAGCAAAGCGAAGTGACTGTCCAACTTCAAGTTCAACAGGGCTGTCCTTAGTTAATCTCTCGTTTGCAACAAATGTACCATGAACAGATCCTAAATCGATAACATAGATGCTGAAAGGAAACAAAGGAAGCATGGAGCAACTGTTAGTTATGCACCTAAGACACAACATAGATAAAAGAAAATTTTACAGCTATAATCCTGCCATTTCTTGGGCAGAAAATTCTGAACGAAGCATGTCTAAAAGGTCAATAGCATATAGGAGCACAATATTCCATTACAGGCGCAAACCGTTGTCTATTGAGTTAAGAAAATCAAATCTATTAACATTCAGGTTGCTAAAAAGAAGTCTCATTAACCATCAAAAACATAAACTCGTATGTCCAACTGAACACAAGTGCATCAAACATCAGGCAGGTATCTAACCTTCCATTTTTGTGTGGAACGACAGCAGCATGTTGGCGTGAGACGGACTGATGGTCCAAGACAATCTCACAAGCAGGCACCTGCCTCCCAAATATATGCCTCTTCTTGTCCAGATTAATCCTATCAATGGCATTTCCATCCTTCATCACCTCAAGATAGTAAACCCCAGGGCGCGGCTCAATTGCCCAGTCCGGCGGTTGCCACGTCGACTGCCCACCACCAAACTGCGTCCCGGCGGGTCTGGGGGCTCCAGCAGCTTCTTGCCCGGCCACGCTTGAGCCGGCACTCTGCGAAGCATGCTGACTCTGGCTGGGACCAAGATGTGAGTTTTGCGGCGGCACCAATGGAGCTGGCTGCACTTTCACAGCTGTGGGCACGGTCTTTGCGCCAGGACCAGACTGCTGCACCGAGAAGGGCTCCAAGGCCTGAGCTTTCTTGAAGCGGTCAAGCCCACCACGGTACATCTCCTCTAAGCTTACCACTACCACCTGTTCTGGTCTCTACCACTGAGTCACTCTTTAACCTTCAACAGCTGATGATGAACCCCACAGGGCTGTACTCAAGTTCTGCAAGAATCCCCTACATACGGATTACACAAAGTCAGTACCAGCAAACAAACTTGCAACCAAATTGTAAGGCAATTGCCTGCAGAACTATTCCACTGGTCGCTGCCTCGTGTCGCAAATCAGAAAAAGGTGAAGGTAATACTGGACTAGGTGTTGGATGATTTTTTTCCCCTTTCGACCAAACAAATTGCTTTCATTTGCTCTCGATGATAGATGTCCAAACAGACAGACAGATTACCCATTATACCTCTTTTAACTGAAGAAGATGCAGCAACAGCATATATAACATCCACAATGCTCTATGATGGCTGTGCTGTAGTCCCAAAGGATTGGGAAGTTTTGATTCACAGGAGACCGAATGGTAGAGTTCGCGAGTGAGCATCCAAAATCTGTGTTTGCTATAATGTTTGAATTCATGATTTCCCCTGTGTTGTTTCAACTGAATCTACTATTTTCATCAGACTTGAGACTGGCATCAAGAAGCAGCAGCCGCATGGCGGAGCGCGTGGGGCCGGCAGAGGCGCACGAGCACGCGGGACCGGCGTCAGCACGAAGCAGCGGTAGCGACACGACGGGGCGGCGGCGGCGAGCTCCTACACCTAACCCTAGGTCGCCTCCCCGGGGTACAAGGGGATGAGCGCGGGAGAGAGGGGGAGAGAGACTCACCAGGGGAGGCTCGCGTCGCCGTCGATGAGCGCGTCCGACGAGGGAGGCTAGCCGCCGTCGAGGGGCGGCTCCGACGAGGCGCCGCCGCTGGGAGCGAGGGAGAGCTGGAGAAGGGGGAACGATACGGGGGAGGCCGAGCTCGCTTTGGTCAATCTGGCACAGGGGCACTTTGGGGATTTCGACGAGTGCATCTCCAAGGGGATGCACCAAAAACCCCTCGAGGCCTCCACAATCTCTGTGCCCGGTCCATATTTTTCTGTACTTTTTTAAAAAATTATTGTTCAAACTTTATTTGAATATTCGAAACACATAGTCAATCTAAAATGCATAGTTCAAACATAAATATTACACGGAGTTCATGATTAAGACAAAAAAAAATCAAGGAACGTCCACAGATCTAAATGATGATTCGCGGGATCATTGAGAAGTGGTTGGTGCGCATCTCGATCTCAAAGTGGATGATGCTTCTCCAGAATGATTTCAACCCGCTCTGGCGAAGATTATCAAAATCAGCGTTACGTTGTATCATATACGATTCGATGAACTCATTGTATAGAAACTCTTCACCCATGTCCTTCGTGTGCACTTGCAAATGTTCAATGAATAGATGGTCAAACTCTATTTAGACATTGTATCGAATAAGTGGTGGACGGCATCGACGGCCGGCGGTCCAGGATGTATCCGGCGATGTAGGACGAGCGGCATGTGTGAGAGACGAGGTGGGAGCGTGCACGAGGAGTGAGGGACTCGATGAGGCAGGTGTTTTGGTAAACAGTCAGGTGACTCGGCTCACCTGACTAAATATCCGAGGCTAACTAAGGGCATCCACAATGTATTGCTAAATGCTAGTCCCAAATGATAAAATAGCTTTTAACGTCGATGAAAACCATTGCAGAGGGTGCTGCCAAAGCCAAAAAAAGGGAAACCGAAGCTCCTATGTGCGCCGGTGCCAATTTTTTAATGAATAAAAATGTGATCTCTCCTCTTTCCCCCTTCTTCCGCTTTAGCATGGACACATGCATAGAGCACACGTCTACCAATAATTCATTTTTGAGCCCAAGTCGTCTGCACCCGCGCTGATAAAAAAATCAAAACAAATACTAGAAAATTTAAAAAAAATCATTTTTTTGTGTGGTATATAATTTGATGCGTAAGGTTCACTCCAATTCTCAAGTCATTTGGATATCTCAGCAGCTCTCGGCAAAAAAGACAAATTTAAGGTCTATAAAAAAGAGGAAAAGAAGGTGTTGCTGCTAGTTAATTCCTACTACAATGCATTGCATCAGATGTAGCTAGCTCATAATTACTGAAGTACCAGCACATGTTACCACTAATTAAAATCCTTAAAAGTCTGCATCGACTTCTCTTAGCAGAACAAGGAAAATAACACCACTGAACCAATTTCTCCTGAAGACACAAGAAACACAGAAGTCAGGAACTGAAGAGTGAAGACTAAACAATAATAATAATGAAGGAACACGGAAGTGCGGAACAAAATCTACAGAGACGTGGATTTGACCACGGAATCAAGTCGCTTCTGTGAGGCAGCAAGATATACAGACAGCCCAAAACATTGGGAAAGTAATGATTAAAAAAATCACATTGTTCGGAAGCAAAAGCACCATACATGACTGATCTTCATGTTTACAACATCAATTATTCCTGTCTCTACTTAATTTCACAGAAAGCATCAAAACATGCCATGGAGGACTCAAATCCAAACAAAGAAGTTGACAAGAGTTTTTCCAGGAATCAGACTGAACATGCATATCCATCCGATACATGTTCTTCACACTCATCCTAGGTGTCCACGCGCCTTTTGGCTAGCTCTTCCAGTAAATGTTCAGTCCTTTTTATCATTCATCTGGTAACATGTCACCTTCACATATTTTACTGATTTCCAGTGCAGGTCGGTTGGGGTTTGCCTCGGCCATGCTCTTCAAAGCACGCTCAACAGCCTCCACATCCGCTGCCGTGACTCCATTGCAGTGTATCAAGACATGGATGTTAGCGAGGCTGGCGAGGTGTTGGATGCCAAAATCAAAAACACTACCAGCTGATTTTAACTCATGTAGATGAAAAATGAGATGAAGCTCCCTAAGATTTGGCATAGCCCCTGCTTCAAACATGAACCCGTTACAAAAACTGAGGGTAAACTTCTGTAATTGTTGAAATCCACTGCTGCTGCTGATGATGGGACCTTCACACACATACCACACATCAAATCGGACAAGGGTAGATATGCTTCCTATCATCTCAAGATCCTGCTGCTCTATCTCCCCACTAGTGATGTACAATTTTTGTAGGTTGGCAAGTGAAAGCAGCCACTTGGCAATCCAATGGATTTCTCCACGCGAGAGACAAATGTTTCGGACACAATTGAGACTCGGGAAGCACAAATCTTTTATGAAGCTATCCTCTTCCTCCAGATAAAATACAATATACAGGATGCGGAGGTTGCAGTTATCCAGTTTACAAAGGGAGGATACTAACTTCTCCTTATGACTTGCATCGTCAGATTTGATGGTGTGCCAACTGATTTTCAGTTTCCTCAAATTTATCAGTTTACCAAGCTCTTCTGTAAAGTTCAGTGATTGCACAAAGGGGTTTATATCCTCAAGCTCCTGCAAGTTCTCCATGTTTCCAATCCCATCCGGCAATTTGGTGCCATTCCCAACAAACAAACGAGCGAGGCGTTTTAGCAGACTAACTGATTCAGGCAACACAGGAAATTTGGGATCTGTAGCAAGCGTCTCTAGATACTCCAAGCCCCCAATTTGATTAGGAAGCTCAGTTATATGTGTACCATCGATGTTCAAGTATCTCAACTGAACAAGTTTTCCAATATCTTTGACCTGATGATTTCCCAATCCTCCACAAACTCTTAGATCCAGCACACGCAGAGCATCTGACTTCACAAGGGAAGGCAACTGTTTGGTAGGCCCGAAGACACCAAGTGATCGAGCATGTGATATATCCAACTGCTCGACAATCCCTTGATCTTCATTCCCTGTCAGAGACAGTCGACGAATTCTGCGATCTGGCTTCGCTTTATTGCTTAACAAAGTAGAGAAGTTCTCTCTGTGAGATAAGTCAATGAGGAAATCAAGGATGGTGTCATGAACTCGGCACCATGATACCTTACCATTATATTTTACTTTCACCGGTTGTATTAAACTTCTATTAACGAGCTCATGGAAATACATATCTCCCAAGTCAACTAGATCTCCGTCTTTACCACGGATAAAACCCTCAGAAATCCATCTGTGTACTAACCGTTTCCTTCCGATTTCATAATCTTCAGGATACAAAGTTAAGTACAATAGGCAACTTCTTAGATGGAGTGGAAGGTCAAAGTAGCTCAACGATAATATGTATTTCATAGCCTCTATATCAGAACTTTTGCCTTCTATAGAAGTAATAGAGTTACGGACCCGATTCCACTCTTGTTCTGTTTCCCTTTTTCCAGTTGCCAACAAGCTTGATATGGCATTGATAGCCAGTGGCAACCCACCACACTTTTTCAAAATATCTTCCGAGGTTTCTTTCAAGTTGGAAGGGCACATTTCCACACAACCAAATATTCTCTTGAAAAATAACTTGGCTGAGTCAGCATCACTAAGTGGTTTGATTTTGTAGACAAGATTTCTGTCAAACGAGCAGCATGATTTTGCTACATCATTTTTACGTGTTGTGCTCACTACTCTACTGCCATGACCGCCCTTGACAAAAGCGCATTCCAAAATTTTCCATGTGGGTACATCCCATATGTCATCAATTATTATCAAGTACCTGCAGTATAGTTTTGGCATAAATATATTAAATTATATGTGATGGAGTATAGAAGCATGTTCTACAGGATATTCACAGTAATTAAAGAAGAGGTTACGTATGTTTAGCAATGGGCACAACAGTTAATCCTAGTGCAGGCCTATAAATTTGATTAAATGGAAAAAGATTCTAACAATTCTACACGGAAGGTAGATAAATAATTCCACTATTGTAGTTTGAACCAATCCAAGGTGGAAACTTTGTTCCGTGATCAATATTCAGTAGATGTGACTTTTCATAGGCCTTTTTTGACAAGGGCTTGGTATGTGGGTTTGCTAATATGATAATTAAAAGCATACCACCCAAATGTATCATTAGAGTAAAATACAAAATCTTACAACATTTGCACCAAATGTAATATGAGCATCTAAGTTTACATAAGTACATGATCGCAGGTGGAAGTCCCGATTCAAATAAAATTAAAAACCACAACCTCCCATGGACAAATAACTCATACACGATGCAAGTTATCTTAAGGTTCAATCAACTCTTGGAGGAAAGATAATGCATGAGTGGAGGAATTAAACCAAAGAAGAATGCATGCATGCATGCATGTGGTCATGCTGATATCAACAAGTTATATTCAGGCAAATTACATATTAACATGCATGAGTGGAAAGTGGCAACATTATACACCTCAAGCCCACGATACAGGAAATGGCATGAGTGAAAACAACATTTAAACATTTAATATGAAGCCAACAAACTACAAAATAGCATAACAATCTGGAAAAAAAATCATGGATTAATTAACAGAATAGACACCTATGAAGTAACGTACAAAAGCATTTTTTGAAGATCTAGATAATTAAAGTTGGTTGCATTGGATAAATTGCATCAGTATTCACAATCGAATAGATTGGCAACTCGCCAGGGAAAATAGCTGGAACCAGAAAATAGAGGCATACCAATGTTCAGAACTAAATGTTGGTTGCGTGTGATATGTAACCCATTCACAATCACAGGTTGATGACATTGTCTATATTTAAATTATAAAAGGAGTAGTTTCATCTAGATACTAGGCCACAACCAACAACAACCTGAGCAAGATCTGCGTGATAACCTTTTTCAAAAAAGTATGCAAGCATTAGTTGTAGTAATTACATATTAGTACCTTTTATCTTTCAGAAAATTTCTGATATGGTCAATGAGAAGTTGTGGATCCCCTACTCCAGCATAATCTTCATCTTGGTTGCGCAATTGGGATAATACAGAACTCAAGATCTTCGTCATATCAGGGCTTCGTGAGATTGACACAAAAGCTCGACAGTCAAAATTTGCTTCAAGCTTGTTATAGACCTGTCTAGCAAGTGTCGTCTTACCAAACCCACCAGCCCCAACAATAGAGACAACTTTGTGCTGATTTTTCAATTCACCTTCCTCATCACTCAGCAACTTTACAAGCTCATCTCTTGGGGCATCAATGCCAACAAGCTCAGTTGTATCTTTATATACCGCACAAATTCGTGGGTCAACCTTTTCATTTCTAGGCATGGAAGAATCATCGATCTTGTACCTTCAGTGCAGGAGAAGGAAATGAGATATAAGTGACAAAAATTAAGGGAGATAGCATATGTGTCACTGATAGTAAAACAAAGTCTTGAAAGACTGATGGCTTTAATACAAATTTTTTGGGCATGATGACCAACATACAATGCCTCAAGCAGAACCCCTCTAGCCTCTACACACTATTCTTTACCTTGCATATCTCTCGCTGATCTCCTTGACTTTGCCCTTAATGTCTTTGACATCTTTCATGATTTTATGGCGAGTCTTAATGCTCGCTATCTTTTTCATGCTTTTGCCAAAAAGCTCCTTGAAGCCTTCTGACTTGGAACTGGACTCATGGTTGACAAGTAACATAAACTTGTCAACTTTGTCCTCAATATCATAGGACAGCTCCCGCACAGCATCAGCACGAAGTCTAGCTTGGTGGTCGGGTTCCTCCACATCTGCCATCATGAGGAGGAATTTCTGCATCGCCTCAAGCTCATCCTTGAGGAACTCGATGTCACCACGGACATCCTTGAGCAGCTTGTATTCATCGGTCAGCATGGTGCCCAACTTCCCCAGGAGGGAGGTCATTGCTCCCGTCGCTGCGCTCACCAGAAATTTTTCCATTGTTGGTCACTCTGAGTTCTCTCTGCTTGTCAGGGTTCCCACACTAATGGCAATGCAATGTTGGTGTAGTCGGAAGGAGAGGCTCCATTGTCTATAGGCAAGGTAAAATGTACTGGTTAGCAGAGAATCATGCACGTGAGTTCCACTGGGTGCAAGGCAGCACAAGTTGGCCATGGATGTACTTGCTCACGATATTTATTTTCTAACAAGAACTTGTCCATATCTGCAGTACATCGATTGAGGCAAAGAAATTGCTAGTGGGTTGCCTACTCCAAGGTGAAGTAACATGTCATCCCACCTAATAGGCTAATACTGCATAGGAAACTGCAATACATGTTCAAAATCCTGTTTTGAGAAGGGATTTTTTTTCTTTTGTAAGGATACAAGAATTACAAATTCCCTGCGAATAATGTCAAAATATACTACTATGGAACTTTTGAGAAATGATTTTTCCTTCTTTCCAAACTTTTGAAAACCTTTAAGAGATTTGCTTCAGTACACCCGGTCATTTCTAGTTAAAATAGTACTCCCTCTGTCCCAAAATAAGTGTCTCAAGCTTAGTACAACTTCACCTTGGAGTACAAAGTTGAGACACTTATTTTGGGACGGAGGGAGTAGTAACTACCAATATGTCCTCTTGTCACTCTTATTTAGAGTGAGCAATTACTGAAATGTTCAAAGGATTGAGATAATATTATTAATTGAGTACTACCTTTGTTCCTAAATGTAAAATGTTTTGGCAGTTTAAATTGAAATGCCAGAATGTATTACATATAGGAACAAAGGGAGTAGTATATATGCACCTCTCTCCTTGAGAGGAAGTGCTTCCATGATCCTTTTTTCTAGTGACAGTCAAGCAATTGACAGTTCACAAAAGTCAAGGTGTGATTTGTAGAACCACACTTCCTTTCTTCATAAAGTTGGGCCAACGAACACTTTGGTGGCATCAGGCTGTATATATTTGCATGCTACCTTTGCACAGCATCAGGCTCAGTCAAACACTCGGATCAATACACCCGGCTAATTAATAATTACTGCTTAGATTAACAACTACTCCCTCCGTTTCATATTACTCGTCGCTGATTTAGTATTTGTACTAAATCAGCGACGAGTAATATGAAACGGAGGGAGTATATGTATGGACAGCTCACATGGGTTGCATCGAACCAGAAGTACTTATGCAATTTACATTACAATAAGCTCAGCACATGCCTTCACGATCTTCCTGTCTGCCATGAGCATGCCAAATGACTAGAAGAAATATATCAGTCGCGTGGTTTAGGAGTCAGACAAGGGTGATGAGAGGAAGGAAAGAGGGAAGAAAGCGAGGGTGACACTAAAAAAGTTCTTAATGTGGAAAGAGCTACACACTAAACTAATGTGAAAGTGGGAAAAAGCGAGAGTAACAATAACTAAGCGAGGGTTACTCTAACCAAGTCAGTGAGTGGATGTCTCAAATAATTCTACAGGACCATACCTGAGAGAGCTACACACTAAACTAATGCTCATTGAGAACTTTAATCGCAGGATTCTCCGCATGCAACATTTTAGGAAAATTATCAATTTATTGTTTGAAATGCATTTTTCATTTCTACAGAAAAGAGAATGCACAAGTAACAGTCAGTAGGCACCAATGGACCTGGCTGCACTTTCACAACCGTGGGCACGCTCTTTGTGTCAGAACCAGACTGCTGCACTGGGAACGTGTAGCGACCAGATCTCAAACAGTCTGATCTCTGTGCTCCGATGTCATCCCTAGATCAGTAATGCTGACACCACACAGTACTCGGAGGATTTATAGCAGAGTAGCAATCACACACTTATTGCATCGAATGTCTCAAAAAAGAACTTATTATAATAAATATGGCTTAAGGCCATCTAATAACGATAACAGCGGAAGGCTTGGAAGATAAGTGAGTCCATCAACTCCAACGGCATCACTGAGTATAGAACCACGACCTAAAAACTCCTTAATCGTCGTCTGAAAAGTCTGCAGCATTAACGTTGCAGCCCGAAAACGGGTCAGCACATGGAATATGCTGGCAAGATAACACATAAAAAGTAATGAAATGAAACAGCTATACTATATGCATATTTGGCTGGTGGAAAGCTCTATGGTTACAGCGTAAAGCCAATTTTTCCTTACTTCAAAGGAATAAAATTTTAATTACTATCAAGGTGGTTGTTAAACATTGAGAATAGTTGACAGCATTCTCAATCCTAATTAAGCATCATCATTAAACATAACCCAACAAAATTAATTTAGAACAACATGTTGAGATTCACATGATAATCCAAATACTAGATACTTAAGATGTCCATAACTAGGGACACGGCTAACCATGATTAGTTTGTTACACTCTGCAGAGGTTTGCGCACTTTTCCCCACAAGACTTGATCGCCTCCGTTTGTTTTCTCGCACTACATGATGTTTGAGAAGACGGATGACCGAGACATAATCTTTCAAAAGCGCTAGCACCTTACGATCGGGTAGACCGTACCACCTACATCCCCTACATCTGCTAGTCTATCACTGTAAGAGTTCGCACAACTTAGTCAACTATGCTAGAGCCCATAATAGCTTGTGGCTGCACACGAAAGTTTCTAATATGAATAGTCTCATGATCCCTTTGAGCCTGGGTGACGGTCCAAAAGAAAACAGGCAAGTCCTGAAATACCCAGGTGCCTCAATCCACCCAGCTGTGTGTTTAAGTTGCCACCTTAGATAAACCATTAATTATCAATCTCACATCTGTCATGGATATCACTCACCCAATCCACGTCTACTAGCATAGCATGGCATAATAAGCAAACGTAGAAGCAACTCCCAAAGGTTTGATAATAAACAGATAATAGGTACTACCTCATCTAATTTCCATCCAACAATTTAATTAGATCCTAATCATGCAATGTGTGAGGATTGATCTAATGCAATAAAACTGGATAGTAGAAAAGGTATGATTAAAGTGTTACTTGCCTTGCTGATGATCCGGGAAACCTAGCGATTCGAAGTAACAGGCGGCGCACTACGGATACTCTATCGCAGACAAACAAACGAGCATATAATAAGTACTTATCTAATGCACAGGTAAAACTCAAATAAGAGATCTAACCAGAAGGTTCAGATTAAAAACTCCGGTTGGCAAAAAGAATCAAATCGAACGAAACAACGAAAGTCAAACGGCGAAAGAAAACAACTTCGTTCTAGTAATCTGGATTTAGGGCAAATTTTACAGTAGCAAAATCTTGTTTAAGTTGGTTAAATGGATAGAGGGTTTCGAGACGAAACTCTAGGCGCTTGAATCGCCTAATTCCGATAAACGAGCGAAAAGATAAACTAAAACGAAAATCAGATCAGGAATCGCGATCAGAAAAATCACGGATTTAATCCGAGAAAAAAAAAACGACGAACGCTCGCTAAAAATAAATAAACCGTAAAAACCGATCTATTTAAAAAACCCGAATCTATTAAACCGACGAAAACCGATCGGTTTTTTTTTATTATTTTTTTAACCGAAGGCACGAAAAACGAGGCGCGGCGGCGAACCTCGGCGGCGGCGGCGTCCAGCAACGTCGGCGCGGGGCGGCGCGGCGGCAGCCAGCGGCGGCGGTGGCGCGGGCGGGTG